GTGTGTGGGGGTGGGGGGGGATGGGTAGGTGTGTGTGGGGGGTAGGTGTGTTTGTGTGTGTGTGAGTTGGGAGATGTTTGTGTGTGTTGTCTATGTCCTTCCTCTTTAAAGAAAGGTTAAAACTCCCCCAGAAAAAGGCCCGCGCGCGCACACACACACACACACACACACACACACACACACACACACACACACACACACACACACACACACACACACACACACACATTTACCCCTTTCTGTCGTCCTGTAATCAAGCTAGTAACAAGTGGTCGCCTTTCACTGTCGAACGTGTTGTAAAGGGCATGTTATTGACCCTCGTAACAACATGGGGTTTCGCCCTCTCTACCCCTCCCCCCCCTCCTCCCTTCCTCCCTTCCTCCCTCCCTCCCTCCTTCCCTCTCTTCCTGCCTCCTCCCTCCCTCCCTCCTCCCTCCTCCCTCCCTCCCTCCTCCCTTCTCCCTTTCCACTGCTCCCCTTCCCCCACCTCGTCTCCTCTTCGTCTTTTCTCTTTTCTTTTCTTCCCTTCCTCTCTTCCTTCCTTATTTCTTCTCTCCTATTGTCCCTGCTCCATTTATTTTCTGCCCTACCTCCTTCATTTGCTTTCCCTACCTGTTCTTGTGTTTTCTCTGCCTCCCTCTTTCTCTCCTCTCTCCGTTTCCCCTTCTCATTTCTTTTTTCGTTTATTTCTCTCTTCCCCCTCCTCCCTCCTAACCCCCTTTCCCTGTTTCCTTTTCCTCTTTTTCCCTCCTTCTTTTCTGTATCTTTCCCTCTCCCCTTTCTTGCTCTTTCTCTCCTTCCTTTCTCTCCCTTTCCCTCCCTCCTTTCTCTCCTTTTCCCACCCAACTTCTCTTTCTTTCTCTTTCTCTCCTTCCTTTCTCTATCTTTCCTTCGTCCCTTTCTTTCTCTCCCTTTCCCTCCTTACTTCCCTTTCTTTTTTTCGTCCCCCCTCCTGTCTCTCCCTCCCCCTCTCTTCTCTCCCTCCCCCTTCTCTCCTTCCTTTCTCTATCTTTCCCTTTTCCTTTTCTTTTTTTTCGCCCCCCCCCCCTTCTCTCCCCGCATGGCTCGGCGAAGTGACCATATCGCCACGTCCCGCTCGGCCACGACCCGGGGCGGCGGCGGCGAAGACAAATGGGCGGGCGGGCGTGGGTAGGCCTATGGGCAGATGCGCGATTTGCCCACCACGACGCGATCACCTCGGGCGGGGCGGGGGGTGATGGGGGGGGGGGGGTTGACTCTCGGGATTTTTTTTTTTATAATTCTTTCTTCTTTCTTCTTGATTTTCCATTCTTGTTGATTGTTATTGATTTTTTTTCTCTAATTTTTCTTCTCTTCTCTCTCTCTCTCTCTCTCTCTCTCTCTCTCTCTCTCTCTCTCTCTCTCTCTCTCTCTCTCTCTCTCTCTCTCTCTCTCTCTCTCCCCCCTCCTCTTCTTCCTCCTCCTCCTCCTCCTCCTCCTCCTCCTCCTCCTCCTCCTCCTCCTTCCCCTCCTCCTCCTTCCCCTCTCTCGTTTCCACTCCCATAACAAAATGCTTTTCAGAGATAACGATGAAACTCCCTCAAGGCTGGGCAGTTCTAGCACGCCAGGTGGGCTTGAGTGGTATCCTGGGGGGTGGGTGGGAGGGGGCAGGTGTAATGCTGGATTTAGGCTTCTTGTTATCAGATCGAATCTTGAATAATGCATGCGTGGTGAGCCGTGTGTGTGTGTGTGTGTGTGTGTGTGTGTGTGTGTGTGTGTGTGTGTGTGTGTGTGTGTGTGTGTGTGTGTGTGCGGTGATCGTTACGTGTGGTGAACGTCCATTTGTGAACATTATGCGTGGTGAACATTCATTTGTGGTGAGCATTCTTGATGGTACGGCCAGGTGTGGATTTCTCGTTAGTGTGTGTTGATGGTGGTTTCTGTTTTTGTTATTGTCTATTGTTATGGTTATCGTTTTATAGCTTTGTTATTGTTTTTTTTTTTTTGTGTGTGTGTGAAGTGGAGGAGGAGGAGGAGGAGGAAGAAAGGGGAATAAGGAAAAAAAATAGTGATGATGCTAAACGCTTGAACATATTCCGCAGAGATCGTTGTTTATTCTCATCATTATCATTTATTTATTTGATTATTGATTTGTGTGTTTTGTTTTTTTTCTATCCCGAGGTTCCAATCACAAGGGCAATAGTGTCTCTTCGTGGTTTCGGTTTCGCGGTCGAGATAGCGCGAGGGCCTGGCGAGGGGGGGGGGGGGGGCAGGTGTTCTCTCGCGCGTCCCACCTGCGAGGAGTTCGAGTTTCGTGCTTGTGCTTGCGAGCGGCCGGCGGCTACTTGCTTTGTTTGTGTGTGTGTTGGGGGGGGGGGGGCACTTGTTTGATTTTTTATTATTATTATTATTATTATGTGTGTTGTATGTGTTTCTCCGCGTGTATGTCTTTTGTTTCGTTGGGTGTCCTTTTAGAGGCACGAATGTTTTCTGGAAGTGTTTTTCGTAGCTAACCCCAGCTTCCCCTTTCTCCCGCAGACGTGTTGAGGATGCTAGTGGAGAACTCCAACGGCGGAGGCGGCGAAGGTCGCTCCTCCACCGCCACCACCAACGGCACTAAGAACGCCACCCCCAATGGCACGCGGGGCCCCCCGACCACCACCAGAGGCCCCCCCAACACCAGCAGAGGCACCACCAACGGCACCGCCAATGGCACCACCAACGGCACCAGCAGCAGCAGGAACAACAACAACGGCGTGGTGAAGACGACCGCCTCGACGCCCACGAAGCCCACGCCGACGATCAGGACCACGAGCATCTCAGGGCCCCCGAGGACCACCCTGGGCTCCCGGACACACTCCACCCCGGGGCCGGCTCTCACCTCGAGGCCCAGCTCCCACGCCGCCACCATCACCAAGACCAGCATCAGCAGCAGCAGCAGTAGCAGCAGCAGGAGCATCAGCAGCAGCCCCGGCAGCAAGGGAGCCACGCCGAGCAAGAGTGCCTCCGGGGGCCTGGACGCGCAGCTCACCTACACGCCGCCGCACGTCCTCATCCGCTCCATCTCGTCCCTGTCGCAGCACTCGCTCAGGCCGGCCACGCCCGAGCTGGACCAGGTGCGTCGAGGGGCGGGAACGGCGCTGGGACCTGGGCACACGCGTCTCTGGTGTCTCCTCCTCATCCTCAGTCCTCCTCCTTCTCTTCCTCATCCTCATAATCCTCCTCCTCCTCATTCTCCTCTTCCTCGTCCTGGCAGTCCTCCTCCTCATAATCCTCCTTATCCTTATTCATATCCTCCTCATATCCTCCCTCCCCTTTCCTCCCTTCCCCCCCTCCTCCCTCCTCCTTCCCCCCCTCCTCCCTCCTCCTTCCCTCCTCCCTCCCCCTTCTTCCTCCCTCCTACCTCTTCATTTTAACTTCTTACATAATACATGTAGTCTATAATGTATTTTCAGACATGATAATTTGATTATTTACATCTTTTGGTATCAGTAAATTTCTTGTAAAATGATTACATAAATTGGATTATTTTTTGCTGTAATAAAACTCATGTTATTGGTTAGGTACATTAAATATGGAATGAATTGGTCATTTTAGTTTCTGCAAGAATACAGCTTTTAGAAAATGAAAATTAGAAATATTACAAAAATATTACTGAGCCAAGTAAAAAGGTTTCCATCTCTGACAGACCTTTCTTAATAAAAGAATCAAAGCATCATCTAACTCAAGAAACATTTCAGGAGGATGGCATAGTGTCCGTACCAGCACTGCGCAAGGGCGTTTTGCTGCAGGCACGGGACCGGCTCTTCTCGAGGTGGAAAGAGCGCTACTTTGTGCTTACAAGGGACTACTTGGCGTGCTTTAGGAGAGGGTCGACCAAGTATTCGGAAATGGGATCGTTCATTTTCAAGGTGAGAGCTAACGTTGGATTAGGTTGTGTTGGTTGATGTTGAATTGGTGGTAGGAGTGGATTGGGATAACTCTCTGCCAGCGGGCTTTACACTTGTAAAAATGGGCTCTCTCTCTCTCTCTCTCTCTCTCTCTCTCTCTCTCTCTCTCTCTCTCTCTCTCTCTCTCTCTCTCTCTCTCTCTCTCTCTCTCTCTCTCCCCCTCCCTCTCTCTCCCTCTCCCTCCCTCTCCCTCCCTCTCCCTCCCTCTCTCTCCCTCTCTCTCCCTCTCTCTCCCTCTCTCTCCCTCTCTCTCCCTCTCTCTCTCTCTCTCTCTCTCTCTCTCTCTCTCTCTCTCTCTCTCTCTCTCTCTCTCTCTCTCTCTCTCTCTCGCTCCCCCCCCCCTTCTCTGTTGGTCACTAAACATACTCAAACCAAATCCATGTTTCCACAGGTCAACCTAGCCAGCGTGGAATGCGTAGAGTGGCAGGATCGGCGCGGTGGCCCTGCCCTGGCCCTGGCACTCCCTAGGGAAGGCCGTGTTCTCCTTAGGGCCAAGTCAGGGTTGGACCAGTGGTACAGGTTGCTCCTGGAGGCCACCAATGCCTCCCGACACCGCCGCAATGTCCTGCGTCGTGGCACCTCCACCACACACTTGAACAACACCACAAACAACAACTTGGATTTAACACCACCTGCAAAATCAAGTGAGTGATGGGACTCATGTCACAATATTGGTTTTATTCATGTTTGTATTCGTGTCATTAGGAATCACTAATAATGCTGTAGAACTGTTTATCATTGTTAATAATGTGCTTTTTTTTATATTGTAAATATAGTTAAAACTTTGAGAAGGATGAATTGTATGGAGAAACTGTAGTTCAAATGAAAGATTATGTGTTGGAAAATAATAACAATTTTCCATTAAATTTTATCAAGAAATTGCTGTACTAACAATAATTAATATATTACAAAGTTTTATTGAGATTAGTTGTGATGCAGACCTTGCTTTAGTGATTATACTTAAAACTGTCAGAAAACTGGAAATCTAGAGGGTAAGAACATACAGAAATCACACCCACGGTTAAAAGAAAATCAGACTTTTTTCTCGCTTTCTCTTCTTTTCTTTTTTTTTCAACCTCGCAAAGATCAGGAAACAGCTACGAGTAAAGTCTCCTTACCCGACCTGTTCTCTTCACTTAGGTGGCATTCAGTACAGCCTCAGTGGATCAACACCCGAGATCACCCGCCTGTGTGATTCAGTGTGTGACGATTCCCCGGGTGGCACGAGCTCACGTCTCCTTACAAGGCACCATAGATTCTCTTGTAAGCCGTCATCTTTGTACTTGTTGCCAGTGGGGTAGCTAGTGTAATAAGGGCAAGGAGATAAGCAAGGGAAAGAAAGCATTCATGTATAGTAGGAAAAGATAGCTCTGTGAATGAGGTATATGTAGATTTTAACATTGATGTACAATGTGTAAACAGCAAAGCACATTCAGAGAATGAGAAAACTGTGGAATGTACTAGTATGTGGCCAGTAAATCGTTCGGATGATGATTGGAATCCATTCCCGGAAGTCCTTTCTGGTTCCTTCCAAAAGATGAATGTCTTCTGTTTCTTCCTGGACAGTGCTGGCTGATGCAGACCTGGGCTCTTGCGACACAGACATTGCAACTCCGCCATCTTCAGTCACTTCCTCCAACAAGTTCAGCACCTCGACCTCTGCCTCCAACACTTCAGGTTAGTCAGTGCTGGTGGTTTTATTTCATAAGAGAAGTAACTATGTATTTGATTATTTTTCCTTCATAAAGAAATGATAGAGATTTTTTTGGCTTTCCATTAGAAGTCTGATTTTATATGAGATGTTACTTTTTATTTAACAACTATGGTATTATTTTGTTTCTCAAGCTCACAATGTCTCACCCATTTCACAGGATCAGGAGGTTCCTCATCCCTGGCCTCCTCCCCCTCTCTGCGCGGTTCGTGTGCTTGGCCCCGACCCTCATCCCCCCTGAGGCCCGTGGTAGGTGACGCCCCGCGATCAAGACTCTCCCTATACGAAGGAGCTCGGGAAATGCCCACCTCAGCCAAGATGCGGCATTCAGTTTGCCTAGAGCCCCGCGATGCCCAGGACATGGCAAGGAAGCAGAAGAACAGACACTCGATCTGCGTAGAACCGAGGGATCTGGCCAGGACTCGTGCCTCACTCTGCCTCGAGCCACGCAACCCCCTGCTGGACCTGATGGAGAGCGTCGAGGCCATTCCCACGCTCATCTCGCACGAGGACAGTCGGCTGCCATCTTCCGCCAGAACCTCACCTTCGAAGAGTGAAGGTAAAATGGTCTTTAGGACTGGGGAATCTGGTAGGGAAAAGTTTAAATTTAATATTTGAAGGCATAATCAAATTAAAGTTGGGAGTAATGTCAAGTAGTTAAGTATAGCTTCTGAAATCATGCAGCAAATCATTCAATTAGTACATCTTTTTACAAAGTTACTGTATCTTGAAAGGCCCTAACAATGAGTTGTAGTATCATCATTTTCTAAATAGTGATTGGATAGCCCCCGAGGGTAGCAGTATGTTTGACAAATATTTTTTCTGTTATCACCTGTTCTTGTTTGTTGCTGTAATTAACTCTCTCTTATTCAGGCTTTGTATGTTTCCTGTCTTTTTCATTATATGGTCTAGTTGCTAATACAGGTAATTAGATATGATATATGAGATGATACAGGGGTATATAATTATTTTTGTGATTGTCAATGTAAATAGAAATTAACATAGTAAAACAATGGATGTGATTAAAGATAATTATGTTTCCTAATGAGGGAGGGAGGTTAGAGGGTTGCAATAGGGAGGAAATAGGGGAGGGTGGTAACGGAAAGAAGACCTGGAATTTATCTTGATCATGTGATATCCAAGCAACATTGGTATGACAACATCTCTCTTCGAGGAACAGAATTTATTGGTATCTTTCACTAAAACTATAGGTATATCATTTTTAGAATCAGATGTAAGCTTTGAAAATCTGAAGTTGGGAAAAAAAGTTCTTGTTTTTTTTTCCTTGCCATTCTTTTATAATGCTTGGGATTTTTATAGTTTTCTCTGCTTCATTTAAAGAGTGCTGTAATATGAAAACACCAATTATATCTCTAGGATGTTGTATTTTTACAAGCAACTATTTTACAGTTAGATTTAATGAAAACCATTAAAATCACTACAGTTTAGTTAGTCCATACTACAACTGTAGCAATATAGTGCACTTTGGAAAGCCTCATACACAATAGAAAGAAGCTTAGTTAGACTTTTGAATTAATATCCCATTATTGTCATCCTAGAGGTTAAAGGAATCCCTATTTAAGTTGAAGTTCTGTAGGAAAGATTAACCAAAGCAGCAATCAACAGTATCTCACTTACCTTCATCCTTTCTTTCTCTCCAGGAGATAGAAGATCAACCACCGACGTCCCCCTCCTGGTCAGCGAAGTGGACACGAGTCCCTCCCCCAGCGGTGCCCCAGCCCGTCCACGCGCGCACTCCACCTCCCTGACCCCCGAGCGCACCCTGGGCCCTCGCTCGCGCTCCAATCTAGGCTTCTTCCGACACTCAGGCCTCTTCAACCATTAATCTTTCCCTGGACTAGTGGTATTGGTATTTTGACTGCCGGTTTCCTTCCATCCTTCTTACTGATGCTGTTCGAAGGGGATATGTACATTTTTATATGCAAAAAAAAAAGAGATTGTAAGATGTGAAAATATATATATAATAAAGAGCAGAATCTAGGCACCAGTATACACTACCTCCCAACTGTGCTCATGCAGTGTTGACCATCCATCTCTCCCTGTTGACGAGAGAAACAGTTTGACAAAGAATATGTGAATTGTGTAAGCATATAAAAGTGTTTTTCATGCACACTAGAAGTTGCAGAGTCAGTGTGATTTAATCTTGTATTCTGTTTTAGTATTGAGATTGAAGATTATTATATTGCTGTTATTTTACCCCATGTCCCCCTCAATGTCATTTGTGTTTTGTCTTTAGTTCACCGTCCTAGATTTTCTAAATATTTGTAAATAGTTCATCTGATATCTCTCTTGTTCTTATTAATAAAACAGTGGATAATAACAATTAAAAAGAAAAGAGACAGGACACTTTTTTTCAAATAATAGGGTCTGTCACATGACAAGAACAAAGTTTACTAAACTGGAAGTAACAAGGCAAAAATGGTGTCCTGAACAAGTCTTCACACAAAGCACAACGTGAAGCAAATTATCTCCTTGGATAGAGACTTGGCTTAACCACATCTTAATTGTGCCAAATTGGGATGAAACACCAACACATCTCGGCTCTCAGAAGTAGAGGAAAATGTACAGTTGGATGTGAAAACAGTTCGATCTGGTATTCCTTTAAAAAAAGAAAAAAAGAAAAAAAAAAAAGAACGGAACAACATAGGTATTTATGTTAGATTTTTGCTCAATGCAGCAAGCAATTATTGATTTTTCTTTTGCGTCTCTGCTTCCCCCCCTCCCCCATTTTCCTTTCCCTTTTTTTTTTTTTTTTTCGGTGATGTTCTTGTGAATGGCCAGATAAATATACCATGTATAAACATTGTCCACTGTGGTTTGTCATTGTTGGATGACAGATGGATACAGTTCTTGTTTATATGATGACTTTGTATGGGTGAATGTACATTTTGTAATTTTTAATTGTGTAAGTTAATAGTTAGTGGATTCTGTACAGTACATATTTTTTATTTCCAAAGTGAATATACCTTGACCAGTGAAAGTCTGTTGTATAGAATGTACAAGTATTCCCAATTGAAAAGAAACTAGTCATTTTAGGGTTTGGATACAGGAACAAAGATTGATACACATATAAACAGAAAATGAAAAAAAAACAAATTTTACGTTATTTATTTAAACATACATGTGTATTTTTTTTCTTTTCTTTTCAACCCGTTCCAGTATTCATGTGTTCTCACGCAGATTTCTGTATCAAGGTTTTTCTTGTAATGATTTTGAACTTTTCATATTGATGTCATAATTATTTGTGCTATTAACATCATCATGAACATCACTGGCACTGTGCTAATTATTGTTATGGTAATATTTTTATATATAATTCCTCTTATTATTGAGGATATAATTAGTATTTTATTGTTATTATATTTTTATCTGATTTTTTTTTTTTTTTTTTTTTTTTTTTTTTTTTTTTTTTTTTTTTTTTTTTTTTGTATCATCATCATCATTATCATTATTATCGTTATTGTCATCATCATAATCTTCATTTTGAATATTTTTCTAGTTATTCTTTACACCCAATTTGAAATCTGTGGCTTTGGTACAGAATTCTGTGTGAGATGGAGTTTGTACTTTGTGGAAAGAAACTCGTACATTTTTGGCCTTCGATTCTGTCAGTCAGGGTCGCATTGTATTTTTTTTTCTCTTTTTTTTCTTTTTTCTGTTTAATGTGCTATACATGTATTGATACCGGAACAGAAAGAGATGAATATTATGTTATACATAATATCAATAGATGTCCAGTTATAGTATGGATTGTAGAACTCAGCTTCCTTTTTTCCCTTTCCATGTACCCAGTAAAAGTAAGAAATTAAGAAAAAGAAAAAAATGAGAGAAAGAAATGACTCATTTTGATGTGAACTTTACATGAAAAATTGACAGGTCGAAAAATGAAAGATATAAAATAGCACCGAGTTGCATTCTGTCAAAAATACACAGAATGCTCGTTAAGGAGAAACAATTACCGTGTAATTTTCAGGGAAACGAATGCAGGACTCCGAGTAAGGACCGAACACTCACAGCTAAATACAATCACATTATACTGGGGTTCAACTTTTCTGCCGTCATGAAGTCCACTGCCAAACCAGCAGTTGGCATCAACCACTTATGGCTGCGTAAGTGGTTATATAGCATCCCCCCGTAGGAACAGTAGATTTGAAAGTTATACATGTTAGCTAGCTTAACATTTTTTTTTTGTTTTTGTTTTTTTTCTCTTATGAATGTCCCACTCCACAATACTGCCAATGAACTACAGCTCTGGTATATACTTTTATCTTTTCTTCTTCTTTTTTTTCTTTTTTTTCCCTTTTTTACTTTTTTTTCTCTTTGAATAAGACGTGATTTGTGAAATGTTGACTGTAGAGAGAGTGACATGTATTGCAGCTGTGTACATAATAGAATCCTTTTATGAAGTGGCTAGACAGGTTCCATGACATTATTTTCATACATTCATTCTCCTGTTCAGATATTTCTCTTTTTTTTTTCTCTCTCTCTCTCTCTCTCTCTCATCATGTTCTTATTCCCCTTCTTTTTAAACTTCCTAATCTCCCAAATATTGTTTTTTTCTCTCTCTCTTCTCTCTTCTTTCATTTTAATAATCTCAATCTTATCTATTTTCTGTCTTTCTATAGTCTGTGAAGAGTGAATGTGCTGATGGAAAGGCAATGCTTGATAATTTGATAATTTGAGAAAACTTTATAATACAATTTAGATGCTGTAGGTATTTGAGATGCATGAAGTGCAATCATGTAGAATTCTACAAGACAGGAACAGGATCTGGTTTAGTTGTTAAGTTGCCGGAGATCATTTATACTTTGTGGAAATAAAGTAGGTCACATTTTTTTTTTTTTTTTAGAAAGAAAAATGAAATGTTTATTGTTTGCCTTGTTGGCAGAGTTTGGTTAACAAGTATAATCCCTCAGATGTTTTTTCACACACACACACATATACATGCTCGCACACACACACTCTCTCTCTCTCTCTCTCTCTCTCTCTCTCTCTCTCTCTCTCTCTCTCTCTCTCTCTCTCTCTCTCTCTCTCTCTCTCTCTCTCTCTCCCTCCCTCCCTCCCTCCCTCCCTCCCTCCCTCCCCTCCCTCCCTCCCTCCCTCCCTCTCCCTCCCTCCCTCCCTCTCCCTCTCCCTCTCTCCCCACTTCCTTTCTCACTACCCCACCTCCTTTCTCTCTCCCTCTCCCTGTCTTCTCTTCTTCTCTCTCCCTCTCCCTGTCTTCTCTTCTTCTCTCTCCCTCTCCCTGTCTTCTCTTCTTCGCTCTCCCTCTCCCTCTCCTTGTCTTCTCTTCTTCGCTCTCCCTCTCCCTCTCCCTGTCTTCTCCTTCTCTCTCCCTCTCCCTGTCTTCTCTTCTTCTCTCTCCCTCTCCCTGTCTTCTCTTCTTCTGTCTTCTCTCACCCTCCCTTTCCCTCCCTCCCTCCATAAATATGTACAGTTATACACCCACCTGAGATAATCATAGCCAATATATCTGACCCCAGATGTCTTTCAACGTTCAGGTGGATCGCCTAAGAATTTTGAAAAGCATATTTTTTACACACATAACCTGGTCTTATGTGAATGAGTGTCAGATGAATATATAAGTGAAAGATGTCTATTGAGATCTGTAAAGTTATCTATTTGGTACACTTTGGGAGAACATTGTACTTGGTGTGAACAATAGGGTGATTACAGTATATTAGTGAAAGTTTTGGAAATTCCACGCGCAAGTTGGAAGAATTATGTGTATGTATATATACTGTATATATATATATATATATATATATATATATATATATATGTAATTTTCTTTTTATTTTCGTTTTCTTCCTTTTTGGAAGAATATCAAGGACAAAACTTTTTTTTTGAGTTAATGAAGAATAACCCTTATTTAAGGACCAGTTGTCATTTATTTTTATATATGTATACATGATTTGATGACCTTACTAAAAACCAGATGGTAGGCAGTTACGACCTTATTAGAATTTTATGAACCGTTTGTCTTGTAATAAGAGGCAGTTTGCTCGGCCCTGTGTGATCAGTGGAGTCATATTAGGAGTTGCTCATAGTGGAGGCTCATCTCCCAGCTCATGCTTTGTGGTTTCATGCAAGAAGCAGACTATCTTAAGGAGTCCATGTTATTTTAAAGGGCCTGCAGTTATTTTATGACATGAATGAAAAAGAAGATGAAAGTGATTTGTTACTGCAGCTGTTGCAGAGACAATGAATTTAAATAAGATGCTCATGGATGAGCGGATGTCTAATCAATTAATGCTGTGTGAATCGGTATATGCAAGCTTAAAAGTTGCAGCATAAAGGGAAGTTTTGCAAATACAGACGAACTCTTCCCTTGTGCACCCACCTCTTTCTCCTTCACTGTTGTTCCATATGTACAGTAGTTAAAATAATTGTATACATCAAGTTAATAAAGTTAACAATGAAAAAGATAGTGTATTATTTCCATAATTGAATAGTGTGAATACATTCACATAAACATACATATTTGGATGCTCACACACACACACAAAATGAGGATGAATAAACTGACATTTCAAATTCGCCAATTCGAAATAGAAACCCAAAGTACACTGAGACTAGACCATATTGTAGACCTAAAAAAATAACAATGGAAAATAACCAAAGCAGGTCCAGTGATCTTAGGACATCATTTCTCCATTGTCCAGATCTTAGATTCTTACTTAAAGGGAGTCAAACATTTTTCTTATATAAGGAACAGAAGGTTTATGAATCCATCTATTGTTACTTTGATAAAGTTGATGGCTTTTATCTAGTAAGTAAATGGAATAGACATCAGTTTCCATAGCGTCCCAAACACCACATTTATATTCAATGTTTTTTAAGACGCTCACCCCACCGTCAATACCACGTCATATGTGTTTGATGGATTGCTAAATGAGCACAGTGACATTCAGTGCAGCTTTGCAATAAAAAAAGGTTTATCAAGAAACTTACGATGCGATTCGTAATTACTGAAAATATAAATCCCTATCTGAGACTACGTGAAATATATCAGAAAAATATCGTGCTCTGAAGGTGAAAGCATACACTTTTTAAAAAAGGCCTTTTTTTATCAACCCAACTTTGATGCATTGTTTCAAATTTTATCACAGACGCTGCAAAACATACCATTGAAGTACTGACATCAAAAAATAAAGAGGAGTTATAATTATTATTATTATAGATAAAAGGCAATAGAAAACCGTTAAAGTCCTTAATATAATGGTATGATTCTTAATTACAAGCAAAACATTGTGGGAGCTTCAAATAATATGGAAAAAGTACCTGTCTACTTCTACTTCTACGCTTCGCAAGACTGAGGAAAGTTTAAATATATTTCTAAAATTCAGTCAAAATATATATTTTTCTTATTATTATTACATACATTGTTATTTATATTAGCTTTTGCATCTTACCGTATCCATCGTGAGAGAATCCCGTGTCCAAATCAGACAATGGAGTAATTCTAATGATCACAGACATTCACTTAACGTCTGGATTGATATGTTTGAGTTTGTTGGAAATTCTTCCCATGTTCCAGCGACAGCCATTTTTGACTTCAAATCTTACCCATATGTATTAGATGTACAGTTAAAAAGACACGAACATTTTATGCACTTTTAAGGAAAGGCCTACGTCCTGCAATGGATTAACCCTGGCTGATGATACACACACACACACACACACACACACACACACACACACACACACACACACACACACACACACACACACATATATATATATATATATATATATATATATATATATATATATATATATATATATATATATATATATATATATATATATATATATAATGTCAAGAAACTTACGGTGTGATCCGTAATTAATGAAAATATAAATCCCTCTCTGAGACTATATGAACTAGATCTGAAAAATATCGAAAATTCTTTATAGAGAAGAGGATTTAGTTTTCGCGAATACATTTGCTTGATTTAAGAAAAATTGAGGTTACTTCAATTTAGTTTAAGATTTAAGATGAAATCGAGTCTCCGATCGATGAATTAGTCATAAAAAATAAATCAGCATTGGCGCTAATTGGATGCCCCCCTGATATATATATATATATATATATATATATATATATATATATATATATATATATACATACATATATATATATATATATATATATATATATATATATATATGTATATATATATATATATATATATATATATATATATATATATATATATACATACATATATATATATATATATATACATATATATATATATATATATATATATATATATATATATATATATATATATATATATATACATACATATATATATACATATATATATATATATATATATATATATATATATATATATATATATATATATATATATGTATATATATATATATATATATATATATATATATATATATATATATATATATATATATGTATATATATATATATATATATATATATATATATATATATATATATATACATATGTATATATATATATATATATATATATATATATATATATATATATATATGTATATATATATATATATATATATATATATATATATGTATGTATATATATATATATATATATATATATATATATATATATATATACATACATATATATATAGATATACATATATATACATATATATATATATATATATATATATATATATATATATATATATATGTATATATATATATATATGTATGTATATATATATATATATATATATATATATATATATATATATATATATATATCAGGGGGGCATCCAATTAGCGCCAATGCTGATTTATTTTTTATGACTAATTCATCGATCGGAGACTCGATTTCATCTTAAATCTTAAACTAAATTGAAGTAACCTCAATTTTTCTTAAATCAAGCAAATGTATTCGCGAAAACTAAATCCTCTTCTCTATAAAGAATTTTCGATATTTTTCAGATCTAGTTCATATAGTCTCAGAGAGGGATTTATATTTTCATTAATTACGGATCACACCGTAAGTTCCCCCCCCCCCCCCCCCCTTTTTTACTTAATGAGGCCACATATCTTAAATTAAAATCTACTTGTTCTGCGACGTAGGGAAAAAAGACCGTGTTTGTTTCGAGCCGTGGGTAAATGTTTCAATTTTTATATTTCATTTATGCTGGGGTGTTATTAGGGTCGTGGTCGGTCGATATTAATGAAAATGCTTCTGCAGTTGGATTACTGCATTATTTTCTTTATCTATTCATTTACTTTGCTTCACATCAGGTATCTAATAAATTGGTGATCATGATTGTAACATAGTTACTAAATTTGCTTATGCATAAAGTTTATTACGTATGTAAACCAAATATCATTATATTTAATTTTCCTATAAATCAAAATGGTATTTATAAGAATAATACCAGACAAAATAACATAAAAATACCCAGAAACTCTTTAAATATAAACATTTCTCCAAGACACATA